AGAGTCATCTGAGACTTCATGGGTGGTCCCTGGTCCCTTTTTCCCACATTTGACATGGAATCTCTTTCCCTAAATAACAGTTGAGGTTTCTGATGAAATTGTAGGCCACCACAAGGAGTGTTTACGTTATGAAACATACCCACTTCATGCCCTTCAAAACTATAAACTTATAGATTACTGGTTTATTACAAATAATCTTCTAGCCAGGGACATCCTGCTAAGGGCATTCTATAGATAAGGTCTCTTCTACCAGGCAAAAATCATTATTTATCAGAGGTCCAGTTGAGGATATTAGGCAGTTACGATCTTTGTTCCTGTCCCACCTGTAAAGAGGGCTCCTCCACAAGGGGAATGAATTGGTTGCAAACCAGCTATTTTAACTCTTTCCTCCTTAGTTTCATTAAAAATTGTTGAAAGTAACTACACTAGACCCTGTAGTTTGGTCTGTGTTTTACGAACACCTTTATAGCACAGCTCATAATTATCAATGTCTCATCCTCTGGTATAATTCCAAGACTATATTGTTCCTAATTGATTTGGCTTTCAACATATAGCCTTCCTCGACTATTTAAAACCCACAAAGTCACTTATGTTATTTACTAGTAGTTGCCATTTTAACTATCTTCATATGTAAGAATAATGTTACTCTAACTTTTCTAGTAGTTCCAGGTGCAGTGTATAGACATAGATAAAGCATTTTTAAAAGTATGTCTACATAAATGGATAAACCTTTTAGAATAGGTTGTATCCACTAGGTTGTGCTCATTGCAATACATTGTAATTATTTCCTTAATTGCTTGTTTTTCTTAGACATAAGTATCCAAATTGTGTCTGTTTTGTTTATCTATGCAGAATCTGGCATAATTCCTGACACAAATATGATTGAACATCCTCTCAAGCAACAGTTATTGAAAAAATTAGTTATATTTGTTTTTTATTGTTATCAACTAGTTTCTACAAACCTTGAGACTATCTGTAGGAATGTACAGTGCAGCAAATTAATTACAGAGAGGAGAAGATATCATAATGCCTAAAATTTGCTGCATAGTTTTCTCTCCAGTCCAACTTATACTTGATATCCAATCCCAAATGAAATTGAGTTATCAATCAAATATAAAGTTTGTAACAAGAAATTTGCTGTTTTAAATGAAAATAAAACCTGCTAGTGTGTTCTCTCCAGTTAGCAAGAGGAGTCCCTCTTTGACTTCCCTTCCCTAAGTTTGTTTCTGTTTACCAAAATATATATATATATATTTCTTTTGTCAAGATACCAGTTTTTAAATTACTCTCTATGTGTACAAATACCATGAGGCTTAGAAACAGGTAATTTATGGTGTTAATGTAGTTGTATTGGAAGAGGGGCAGGAGAGTGTGATTTCTTTATGTTTTTATTGATGGGAAAGTTTCATTTTGAATTTGAATATTTTCCATAATGAAAAAGTGGTTTTCCATAGGGAAGGCTGTGTGTAACATTGATTCTGGGATCTTGACAGCGTAACTGTGGAAAGATGCGAGTTTTCCTAAGTGATTGTAGGTTTTGGAATTTAGCATCATGGTTTAGATCCTTACATGTTTTGTTCCTTTCCATTAATTATCCACGACATTGTCATGGATTAAAAATCAAAGAGACTGTTTTTAGTTTTGAGAAACAGGTAACATTGTTCTTACTGAAGTACAGCATCATCAAAGCCATTAAATAATAAATGATTTACCACAGTAATTGACTGCTGTGTTTTGAGCAGGTGCAATTTTTATTTTATTGCAAGACAGACAATCTTATATACAATGCATAATTATCACCTTCCAAAAGTACAAGATATAAGTATATACAATAAAGAATATATGAGTATACTTTTGTTTCAGAGAAGAAAACTGCCTCAGGGCAAACAGGTTTATGTCCTTTTGGGATGGGATTTTCATATTTATCCTGAATCTTCCAAACAGTTCTTATTTAGAAAATAAATCTCATTGGATGGACATACAGGCTTGTCATAGTTTTTTCCTTAAAAAGGTCTAATTTAAAGCCAGCCAATAAGGAATATCAATAAAATGTATTCCTCTTATTCTAGTTATTCATCTTATTACATCCCAATACTAGACAAAACATCTATAAATTGTCCGATAATGGTTCTACAGATTTAAGAACTTGTATTTCTCAGTAATACATCATAGAATGGAACCACTTTCTTAAGATTTATGTAAATATTCCTTGATTTTTTCAAAACTAACTTTCTAAACTGTGTTTCTTTTGTAGCATTATGCTTTGAGTTTTGACTTAAGCTCTTTGCATAGGGGATGATTTTAGATTCTTAAGAGTATTTCTGAGACGCTAATGCCAGTCTCCTCCCGGTTAGAATTATGGGTTTTCACCCTCATTGCTGCCTCCTGCATGGCTGTTTCATTTCTCTGTATCTTTTTATGATCCCTCACTAGATCTTATCTTCCAGAAGTCACCAGGGTGGGAGGATGGAATATATGTAGAGTTGATCTTGAGGTTCAATACACACAGTTCTGGTCTCAAAGAGACACAGCAAATTGTGTGCCCTCCTTGCTGTGATGAGAGAGCAGGAATATCAAGACATGGGACACAAACATACATCATCTCATACACACATGTATGCATGTGCACACACAATCACACACATGTAAACACATTTACTCACACTCACACATGCATGCACACACACATATACTCATGCAAACTAACATGCACAAACATGTATACTCACACGTGCATACATAAACAATCACACACATATATTCACACACACACGCAGGCATGCACACCCACAATTCACACACAGAAAGACATATATTCACACTTTCACATATGCATGCCCGCATGAGCACACATACATGCACACACAGACACACACTCACTTACTCACACATGCATGCACACGTGTGCACACATACACACTTTTGACAAATGAATACTTTTGTGTAAGTGGTATTTTCTCTAACATATATGACTCACTTTTTCATTCCTAAAAGCAGTGCCCTAAAATGACAAAGCCACTCCCTCTTCCTCCGGTTTGGGGAAATTGGTGTCCACAATAATAGAGAACTTAGAACATCTCTCATGGGCACTCAGCTATTTCTCTCTCTCCATGGGCTGCAAACTTAGATAAAAAGACATGCAGGATAATCTGGCTAAAGTTCAGACTCCAATAATGGCAACAGATGCCATAAGGGTACATGGGGTGCTAAGTGAAAGAGAACCCATTACTATAATTACTATAATTTTATTCCATAATTGTATATTTGTGCACTGCATAAGAATCCTTCAAGAAAATCTCCTGGGTCTTACTGTTCCATAAAGAGATTTGTATATTTCTCACATCAGTAGGGCTTGTTCCTGAAGTTACTCTCTGTATAAATATCCCTTCTATATGGTAGCCAAGATTTTTAACCAAGGGATGAATGCCAACCAATATTTAAGCTATTCCTATTTACATTTAGTTATAAGAATACAAGGACACCAAAGAAAATCACTGAAATTTTAGAAATGCTCGAAAGAGCACTTTGGGTTCATTCAGAAGAACTTTGCCTTTCTGCCTTAAGTCATGTTAGATGCCATGAAAATCTGGAATGTAGACAAACATCATCATAGTAAAATTCTGAAGCCACATATAAAGCTTTCAATGCAAGGTTTGTTTCCAAAAGGAACGAGTATATATACAAGACAGAAAGTACACAGTGAACAGAAATTAGAGATGTAATGATGTCTATGAGCATGTAGGTCTATAAATTTGATTTTCCCATTAAATTCTGGGGGGTGCTGCCTTGATAACATATAGGCTTAAAGAAGAGAAGAGACAGGGGTTATTTCTAAATTATCCCTTTCTTCTGCCCAGGCAAATTACAGAAAAAGCCATTACCTCTGAAATCATAAGTTTCAGAGGAAAGATGAGGGAATTAATATATCATCTGGAAGTTTTAGCAAAATTATCCTAAATGTGCTACTCGTGGCATGATCCTCAGCTAGTATGCTCTTCACAGAACACAGCGCAAGGTATGTCCAAGCACCACAGGTGACATAATGTCCTTGTTCAGCCCACAATTAGGAACATTTCTACTTCCTGCCAAAAGCCACAAAATCCTAGCCCAAGATTAACATGAGCAAAACGCCCTCCCTCCACAGATAGAAAATTTGGTAACAGCTATATGTTCATGAAGAGATGCTGCATATAAATTAGATTCTGCCAAGTCAATAACCTGGGAATGAGTGAATATTTTGTGGTTGTTTAACACATGATTTAAGAGCACCACTGAAGGCCTAAATGGTGCTCAAGGGTCTGAAAGAGACAGCATCTGACTGATTCCCAGAAAGAAATTCATGTTGCCACAAAATGTCTCCGCATCAACCGTCAATAACTCAGGCAGTATTGTTAGTGTGTCCTCGGGAAAGTGCCTGACTGGAAGGCAAGCCCGGTCCTTATTTACACGTATACTATTATTTACAGGTGAAATATATATACTTTCAGTGATATTTAAACCACTTTATATTTCTTGACATCAGGACATGATTTATCATGAAATTATTTATCTGAATAGCATGCTGTGAAACAAACTGTGTCTTTTAAGAAATTAAACTATGTTGGAAATCACCTTTGGCATGTTTAAGTAACTTCATAAATATCAAGATAATTTCCTATTATACATGAACATCAGATACCTCAGGTGTGGGTCCAAGCCATACTTAAGTCAGAATCGTCACTATACGGCCACAGGAAATGTGTATCCATGTAGCATAAAGTGAGCTGGGCACATGCCCTGGGAATGGTTCTTGTTTTTATTCAGGTTGTTGCTGTCAATGTAAAGCATCTGGATTGGACACCTACTATCCTCTGAAACCAAGAATTTTTTCCTTGTCCTTTTTTTTAAACAGAGATTTTGGAACCACATTGCATGGAAAGGCCACAGCAGATGGGTCCTGGACTAAATCTAGGTAACCAGAAGAAAAAGGCTTATTTCTTTGTTCATCAAAGGAACTGGGAGTCAGCCTTGCTTCCCTGCCTTATAAAGGGGCTGTATTTGCTTACTTGAATCTTTTATACTCCATCCCTACAGCCTCGAGGCTTCCACTGACCTGGGTGGCTAACGCAGCCTGCATCTTACAATTTCAGACCATGAGATTTCTAGAAGTTTGTTAAAAATTCTACCTTCCATCTCAGACTTCAGTACTAATCTGAGTTAATCCGAGATCATTAAACTCTTCTCTTCCCGAAGAACTATAAGAAGACATCTCCATGACTAGTCATACTGGTTTATTTATCCCATCAACATCCCTCCCATAAGCAGGATCCTGAACTGTATTTCTGACCCTACTAGTACTCTGTCGCTCCATCCTCATCTTAATTGGAAAGCAGAAGTCTCTGAAACACCGCTTGAAGTTTTCATCAAGAAAGGCGTAGAGAATGGGGTTCAGGCTGCTGTTGGTGTAACCCAAAGCAATGCAGAAGTAATAGCTGGAAAGGGCAGCTGTGCTGTGAGAGGCATTCCCCAGAGCCTCCACAAGGATGAAAATGTGAATGGGGGTCCAACAGATGATAAAGACTGCCACCACTACCAGGACCAGCCTGGTGATCCGACGGAGGTTGCGATCTTTCTCTCGGGAGCCAGAAAGGAGTCGGACACTCTTCAAGCGCAGGATCATCAGAGTGTAGCAGATGATGATGATGAGGACGGGGATCACAAAGGCAAAGACGAAGACACAGATCTTCATGAAGAGGTCCCACCAGGAGTAATCATCATCCGGGAACTGCAAGGAGCACTCTATGACATCCATGTCTGGACAAGGTGAACAAAACAAACAAAAGCACAAAAAGAAAATATTTTCTTATTGCTGTGGCTGCAGTATTCTAAAAGTGAGTTTTTTGGGTACAAAGGTCCAATTATGGTGAGATGATATTACCTGAAGTAGATCACCAAATTAGGAATGAATTCTATGTATAATATTAACCATCCTATCTGTGCTTAGATCAATGAAGCCAGAAAGTCACCATTTATTGGTAACATACGCAATTCTATGAAATACATATTACTAGCTAGCAATATGAATTATGTAGTTGTGGAAACCAGTTTAATGTGGATGACTTTTAGAAGAACTAAATTGGTAATATAGCATAAGCCCTTACTTGCATTTCCATTCATTAACAATTCTCCCAGACCTAAGGCTCTGACAATAAAAGCTAGTATCTATTTGTAATAAATGACTAAATATTCCAAATCTAGCAAAAGCCAACTTGTCTGAAAACATCAAGTGATTTACAAGAAAGCATTAGGTGGGTCAGTAAAAATTTATACAAAGTGTGTTTAAATATGACCCAGGAGTTGTGACTTAATAGAATCAATTGATTAAGGGTGTTGTTGAAACATGAGTAAACTTTTGGAGAAGGAAGAGAAGGAGGAAGAAAAGAAAAAAAAAAAAAAACAGAACAAGGGAAGGTAGAAAAAGGAGGAAGAAAATCATCCTTATTAGCACCATCATCAAGGAAATTCGTGAGACACATTTTTCATTTTTACCAACACTATGTAACAGATAAAATAAATATTTTATTTGATTACTTGGAAAATTATATATTTGCTCTGCTTCTCTTTGCTGGATAGTATTCTCTTTGGAGTGACCTTCATAGTGGAAAGAGCAGAGACCAGAAAGAACAGAGACCCAATAAAAGCACTTTTTTGATACTTTCCTTGGGGGCTCCCTTCCTCCCCAAACATCAACCAGTCCACATTTTTTCCTCTTCCCTCTGAGAGGTCATTGAGCTCAGAGCAGGCAAAACTCTTTGTCCTAATCTGATCTTTCCTTACCAATAAAGTAATCATGAGCAATAATAAGAGCATAATTTTTATTATGATATTTTCTTCTGATATTGGGAAAATCTGCTTCAAAAATAGGACAAGAGTATTTTGTAGTGAAACAGCCCTATTTATATTTTCTAAAATATTTTTATGTGATCTTAATCAAATATCTCTTAGTAAAAACAAAATGTACCATCTTAGAATTTCAATTAGACATACTTACAATACAAAGAATATAATCATTTTGCCCAATTAATAAAGATGACTATCTTAGAAACCTATCTTTTATCAACTAGATACCAGATCAAAACTTTCATTAGTAAATGCAAACTTCCAGAATAACTCAGAATTTTTTTTTAAAGATTTTTATTTATTTATTGAGAGAGATAGTGATAGAGAGAGAGCATGAGAGGGGGAGAGTCAGAGGGAGAAGCAGACTCCCCGCGGAGCAGGGAGCCCGACGCGGGACTCGATCCCGGGACTCCAGGATCATGACCTGAGCCGAAGGCAGTCGCTTAAACAACTGAGCCACCCAGGCGCCCCAAGAATTTTTGATTCTCTAAAAAAAATCATTGTTTAAAGTGCTATTACTATGAAGAGTATTAGAAACAAACAAGCATCTTTTTAAATTTGTGCTTTTAGTGGGTTTTTGTTTTTTTGTTTTGTTTTGCTTTTTTAAAGATTTTATTTATTCATTTGATAGAGAGAGAT